CTGACACATGGAACTTAATAAATCTACATGTACTATATATCTCTATCTTTGATGACTACCTTGTATATAAATCAGAGGGGAAAAATTCTTTCATGAACTGGGATGCCGATCTCTCAAGTTGCCAGCATCCTGTGGGAGATATGATCTAACATTGCAGGAATTACATTACAAAATTTATTGTTTTACTTTTGTTTGCCAGGGAAGTCGCCCTAGAAAATCTCCTAGACTGGTTTTGATCTTTCAATAAGAACCTTTTATGACCTTCATTTTCCAGATTTAGTAAATCTCTACAATGACAAGTATCAGAATATCAATTACTATTGGTTTTGGAAGGTGGAAGAACAAGTGACTAGCACTCCTGTAGTTTCTGATTTAGTACATAGAGTATACAAGTCCTTCATACCCATGGAAAGTGGCAGACTTATCTTATTTGTGTCCTGGCTGTGCTAGAGCACCAATCAAATGATAATACAGTAGAGTTCTTTGTGAGTGTGTTATATTAAACTTCAGTGAAATAAGAATTTATCAGATGAGCACCAAGTATGGAGTATTTAGTCAGGATAGGCCAGCTTAGAGAGCCAAACAAGAGCTAAGATCAGTAAATAATTGCTAAAAGGCTAGATATGGCTAATGGCAGTGATCAAGTACTAAGACTACAATCAAAAAGCATCAGCAATTAGTGCCTCATGTCAGAAGGGTACCCCATCTGTGGACCACACCACCAGGTGGTAATTATAGTCACCCATCTTAAAGCTAAGTGACCTATTGAACATATACAATTAATATAAATATTGCTAGTTTCAAACATACTTATTTTGCAATGATCACCACAAAAATTCCCATTACTAATATGACATATCTTCAATGGAGCAGAACCATTTCCTTGAGAGACCGCAGACCCCAACCCACCGTCCCAGCTGAGCGCCAGATGTAAACATTGTCTCACACTCGTGTATACAAGAATGATGAAACTGAAGCCAAATACATATTTAAAATTTTGAAATATCAAGAGGAGTGCAAACTAGATACTGGTAAATTTTGTCCATCATACTTATGCAACTTTTCCAAGCAAGTACCTGTTCCAAAAACCTTACCTTAGCCCTGATGGTCACATGTACAAACAAGTAGATGGTGTCGACACGAGTTCTCACCTCAGTGAACTATTTGCAAATTTTTACATAGGTATCATTGAAAAGCAAGTCCTTGTTGACCTGATCTTAAATCTGACATCTACTGTCAGTATGTTGATGAGAACTACATAAGAACATAAGAACAAAGGTAACTGCAGAAGGCCTATTGGCCCATACGAGGCAGCTCCTATTTAGAACCACCCAATCCCACTCATATACATGTCCAACCCACGCTTGAAACAATCGAGGGACCCTACCTCCATCACGTTACGTGGTAATTGGTTCCACAAATCAACAACCCTGTTACCGAACCAGTATTTTCCCTAGTTTTACCTAAATCTAAACTTATCCAATATATACCCTTTATTTCGTGTTCTGTCTTGTGTTAATACTTTTAATATCCTATTAATATCCCCTTTGTTATGTTCATTTATCCACTTGTAAACCTCTGTCATGTCACCCCTAACTCTTCGCCTTTCCAGTGAATGGAATTTAAGCTTTGTTAATCTTTCTTCATATGAAAGATTTCTAATTTGGGGAATTAACTTAGTCATCCTACGCTGGACATGTTCAAGTGAATTTATATCCATTCTATAGTACGGCGACCAAAACTGAACTGCATAATTTAAATGGGGCCTAATCAGCGCAAGATATAGCTAAAGAACCACACCAGGTGTCTTGTTACTAACGCTTCAATTAATAAATCCCAGCATCCTATTTGCCTTATTACGAACATTCATGCATTGATCCTTTGGTTTTAATTCTTTTCTTACTAATCATAACTCCCAGATCCCTTTCGCAATCCGACTTCGCAATCTCAACACCATCTAGCTCGTATCTTGTAACTCTATCATCATTACCTAGCCTCAGAATTAATGTTGTGGAGTGACTCATCCAAGTTACATTCTTGCCTGGAGTGTGTATGCTGGCATATCAGCCTCCTGTACCTAACCTCCAGACAATAATATATCTTGGATAAGTCGCTCCACAACATTCATACACGGTTCATTGAGTGTATCATAAATGTTGTTCATAAGTGTAGTGTCAAGTGTAAAGAACACACACAGCACCGCTCCTGTGCCAGGTAAGTCCACTACGGGTTCACCAAAGCCCGTGCTACTTGGAACTTGTTCCGAGTAGCTGAATCTATCTTGATGCAGGTACTTGACATGAAATGCTTGCTACACCTTCAGGAAGCTCTCAAGCAAAATTTTCTGCTTAACTAAGCTTTAGCTTAGTCTCACAGGAGTCTAAGCTAAAGAAGCTAACATAGGACTGTGCCTTAATGCTAGTAGATCAGTGCCTTGACTGGTACAAGTGAAGAGTTGTTGGTGGTTATGTCAACTGTCCTTTCCCACACGGCACCAGCTGGAACCAGGTTGACAAGGAACTTAGTAGAATAAGGCAGGTCCTTGTCAACAATACATACTTGAAGAGTTATGTCAAAATGAACATTAAAGGAACTTGAACTGCCATACTACCTCTGAGGAAGAGCTAGTAGAATCGAATTTGACCCTAAACTCTTCTACAGAAATGTATTTTCAATAGCCCACAAGACAGAGGAAACAGTCCTGAAAGAACAAATCAATAGAAATGTGACTCCCTACCAACAATAACCAGAAGATTCAGCTCACCATATACTAAAAGAATAAGAAGATAGTGAAGTTGCTTATGAAGAACTCTCCTGAAATCAAATGAAATGCCTTGAAAGAGACAAATGTCATTTATGCCCCGATGATCTCAATATATTGGCAGGATAAAATCTATTTCAAGCCACAGGAGAATGCACAAGCAACAAGGCTCTATCAAAATATAATTTCCACACACACCAGACCATAACGAAAGATATCCAACAACAATGAAATAATTGACTAGTATGACTACAATAAAATATTAGGCAGGCAAAGCACTACATATCAAGCACTCTCGTCCCACTATCAGCAGCCAGCTTACACTTAGGTACTTCTTACTATCTTCAAGATCAAGACAAAAGATCACACCTCACCTACTGCCCCAGCTGACACTGACTGTGTAATACCTCTTATCATCTAATCCAACATGGTAATATATTAGATAGTTTTAACTAATTTGTATCTACTTTTCCCCTGGCTCTGAAGATGTTGAAAACCTTAACAAAACATATCATTTAGTGTCAGTAATAAAATGATAAAATAAACTTAAGAGAGTTAAATATTTTAACTTTTTGACTTCCTTCTCAAGTGAAGAAGAACATAAGAAATTTTGGGATTTGTTTTAGAATCATTGCTCTAACCTTTTCAGTCATATTCAGTAACACATGTCTACAAGAAAGACTACTTCCAATACATTATATACTGTACATATACAGTACAGGTACTGTTATATATTTACTAAATGAGGCAACCAACAGTGCCCAGGATAGTCTGTCTTTTCCCACCTACCCCCATTCTCCCCCCCCCCTCTCTCTCTCAATCCTCCCATCTCCCCTATTTTTCCCCTTTTCCCAACCCTCCTCCCCTCCCTCATTTCCCTACTCTTCTCTTTCTTTCCTTCCTGTCTGGCATCCAAACTCGGCCTGACAGATATTTCCAGTTTCTGTCTATTGAGCAGTCTCCGTGGTGTAGTGGTAAGACACTCGCCTGGCGTTCCGCGAGCGCTATGTCATGGGTTCGTATCCTGGCCGGGGAGGATTTACTGGGCGCAATTCCTTAACTGTAGCCTCTGTTTAACGCAACAGTAAAATGTGTACTTGGATGAAAAGACGATTCTTCGCGGCAGGGGATCGTATTCCAGGGCCCATAGGATTAAGGACTTGCCCGAAACGCTACGCGTACTAGTGGCTGTACAAGAATGTAACAACTCTTGTATATATCTCAAAAAAAAAACAAAAAAAAAACAAAAAAAAAAAAAGTTAATAATATTTTTTTTTATTAATACATGAGGTACATCTGCATTAGTGCAGCTACTCTAGACTATATGAAGTGGAGTACAAAAACCATCAAAAAAAAAGCTAACTATGTGATGCTAAAATATCCCCATCACACAGGATGGTTAGTCATACAGAGGGCACGTGACCCCAACCAGTCTATTATATCCATGACGTATCCCTGTCCATTCCCTTTGGAAAGTTGGGTGAGGCTAGCCCCAAATGTCTGTGAGTAACCTCATCCAATATGCTCTATGACAGTTATATAAATAAATACTCTGTAGAGTAAATGAAAATGTAGTTTCAGTTCTTGTTCCATTATATATATATATATATATATATATATATATATATATATATATATATATATATATATATATATATATATATATATATATATATATATATATATATAATGGAACAAGAACTGAAACTACATTTTCATTTACTCTACAGAGTATTTATTTATATAACTGTCATAGAGCATATTGGATGAGGTACAGGTATATACATAATTGTACATATATACATACAGGTATATACATAATTGTGAATGATGTACTGGGGAAATACCATGCATCACCCTTTTATGTTTTCACTAAAATATCTATTTATTACGAGAGTAACTTAAGTCTTGTACACAGTTTTTATACTGTAATGTCTGAAATTTGTTGAATAAGAGATTATAATATTCAAACAAGTACATTGATGTACGATGCCATTACAGAGTGATAGTACGTATCAACTTATTGCAAAAAGCAGAACAAATAATGTAAAAAGAAAAATTATTTTATACCTGGAGCCTTAAAAAAAAAGAGTGATTAAATCTGTCTATTCAAGGTCTCTTGAAAACCAAGAAAATATCCCACAAACTTATTAATTCACAAACAACTAAGGGGATATATATATAAATAACCTATGAGTAAAGCTATTCCCAGAAATTACAGAAATTCTACAATACTCACTGGGTTCAAGTCCATCCACCTTCACTTTAGTGACATCAACGTGTGACTGTACAGGAACAACTATTGGTGACTGAGGAATTTCAGAGCCTGCATACAGCACAGTTACGCGATGGTCTCCAGGAGATGGTGTTAAATATTCCACAGTAAATGTTCCATCGCTGTTATCTTGGATCTCTATAGGAATGTCTTGCCCATGTGCGTTGGTCAGTGCAATCTGTACCTCACCTGTTTCAAAATTATAAATCCGTAATTTGCTTGCTAATAAGTAAACTTAAATGAAAATGAAACTCAATATACCAAAATGGTATTTAAATTACTTTATTCAACCTGTCATCAATTAACCTTGAAAAAGACTGGACAACAGGACAAAATGAAAAATGGTATCTGGTCTATTTAAGGTCTATGGATAATCAAACAAGTTATCTGGTAACTCATATAGATTGGAAAATCTCTGGTTCATTTAAATCTTCATGTTAACTAATCAAAGCATAGACTCAATTACTAGTTTGCATAAGTAAGAGTAAAGTACACTGTATATTTAACATATGTAAGCAGAATGCTAATCAAATTTGTGAGTCAGCTCCCCTTCTCCGTTGTAGCACTAACAAGTGGAAGTGCTAGTCGCCTGAGGGGTTGCTTGTTTTTTTTTTCTAGGGGAGTTATTTTGATCTTTTGGGATGTAGATTGCACAGATTAACCAGACAGTGGTCTGTTTTGATACGCCTACCTTTCTGGGTGCCCTTCCTGGTCGATGGCAATTATGACATGCTTTAAATGTAAAGTGTTCATTGACCAGTGCTCCCTATGCCTCTCTGAGGGGACCAGGTTCTGGCTCGTGGTTCCCGGTAGGCATAAGAACTCCTGTGACTGATGACCCCAAACTAATATAGCACCATATCAGCTCGGATAGCTTCAGGAAGCTGACGGGACTCCCCACAGAAAACACCAGACTGAGCATTATAAACAGTTTCAAAGTCTGGCTTTCCCACACGTTACTGAGCATAAATGTTGTATGTTCCCAGTGCTGCTCACAGACCACTCAGTGTTGGGAAAATTTTTACAATCATTTCACATTTTCTCAGTTAGTATTAGTTAGTTTATAGCTATAAATTTGATGCCAAAACGTTCACAACCAATTGTCTAGAGAATATATGCAAAAACAAAAGTGTATTTATAATACAGTAGTTTATGCTCCTCTCCACACGTTTCTGAACGTAAACATAAGGTGCTTGGTGGGTCCCACTCGGCAATGCATAAAAATGTTAACAATCATTTCATCTTTTCTCAGTCATTTTTTGGGTTATACCTATAAATTTTGTGTCAAAATGTTTGCAAATGAATACCTTAGAGAACAGAAAAAAATTGTTTTTATAATAGATTATATGCGACAGCGATAAATAAAGGAAGCTCTCATGAACAGCAATCAGATGACTTGCTTTAACGTCATTGGAACATTTACTGTCAGGGTACGGATGACACGTTTTAACTTCATCGGAACACAGAAGTGTTAATAAAACACCTGTAACTTTGAAGTTGTAAAAATACTGTATAAAGTTGATTTATGCACTCATCAATAATGTAGATGGGAGTAAATGCTCCCTTTTGTTCCAGGGGGCATCTTATAGTGCAGCAGGAGTTGGAGAATGTTTAAAAGTTACTACAATGCAAGACTGCAATGCAAAAATGCATTAGTTACCTGAGTTTACCTACAGATATTAAACTTCCAAAAATCAAGGGCTTACTGCATATAAACTGATTAGAAGAATACAAAATATTGCACTGCATTATAAATAAAAGTAGTGTTCAGTACTAATATACCTGGTCCAGCTTCACGACAATCAATGTTGAAATGTGTTGGAGTGTTGGACTTTACACCACGTTCTACGCCTGGTCCAAACACCTTTACTGCTCCTGGGTCTGATGGCTCAGAGATGAACACACGATATGGAGAGTCATCAGTGGCAACTCCACCATAATTTACCTTTGTAAAACAAATAAGTAAGAATTGTCAATTTAAATTGCTCACACATAAATACACACACACACACATGTATAGATATAAATGTTAACAAAACATGAAGGAAAACTCAAAACAAATATTGAACACTGTCTCTTTTGAAGCTTTGTTCACTCTAGGAACTTCCCTTCTAAGAAGGATGTAGTTGACCTCCTGTAAAACTTTCCCCGACACTTCAGCTTTCATGTATGGAAACTTTCAATTCTTGGGGCTGTCACTTTTTGCACTGACAAACAAGAATGTGTCTTCTTAAACTAAGAAATTCTGTGTATTCAGTATTTCACAGAAACAGCAAATGTTACATAACATCATTTCAATGAAAATTCCTAACCTGAACTGTGTGTTTGTTTCCTCGGGTTGGTCTATAAGAGAAATCATATGTGCCATTTTTGTTATCTTTGGCCTCAAGCTTGATAGGCTGGTAGTTTGCGTCCATCACAGTGACATCAAGAGGAGCATCGCCAGCTTTGCGTGTGTCAACTTGGAAATCCGCAGGTCGTCCTGATACTAATCCATTCTTTTCCAAACCAGGACCTTTGCATTTAACCTGATATAAACCAGAATTTATATGAAGGTCAAAGTAAATAAACATTTTGAATGGTACCTATCACCTATATGGCTGTAGGGCTTTCAATTACAGTATTACAAACTATGAACTTCCTTAGTTTATATTCATGAACACTGCTTGATTTTCCATAAAATAAGGTAATCTCTGGATTCATAACAATAATTTCATACCAGTTCAGGGTAGTAATCAGTTTGGGGAAGAATCTGTGCAATGTACGGGGATCCTGGGATGTCTTCGTTATTGCAGAGGATGTGCAGCGCGTACTCTCCAGGTGCTGTTGGATAGTAGCGAACATCTGCTGATCCATCACCGTTGTCATTACAATCAATCTTTGCTTGTGATGGGCCCTCAATGCTGAAGCCTTGGGGAAAAATTCATTATTGCACATTAAATTTGGTTGGGAACAGATATTCTATAGTTTCTTATTATCTGGACAGGATGCCTGTCTGGCTTATCAATGTTACTATATTAATAAAAATAATAATAATAATGAGAATATCCACTAGGGCTGTGAGGTGGCCCGAACCTGTGACCCCGGCATTGCCAGCCACATACTCTACCACTGGACCACCGAGGATTTGTCAATGTCATACAACTGGATTTCTACTGAAATCACAGGAAGTCTGAAGACCTCTACTGAAGCCATTCCATGACCCATACAGATTTTCTTGTTCATATATATCATGTTAGTGTGATTTCTGTGTGTTTCTGAAGTTGGGGTTTAAGGTGTAGGACCACTCTGCCCTTCCACCCAAGTGCTTGTCGGTCATACGTAAAAACTTTGACTGGTTCAGTAGGAGCCTCCAGACTTCCTGTGTGTGATTTCAATAGAAATCCGATTGTATGACTTTTACAGTCAGTGGTGGTCCAGTGGTAGAGTATGCAGCTGGCAATGCCATGGCCATCTCACAGTCCTGGTGGATTTTCTGATTGATATATATCATGATAGTGTGATTTCTGTGTGTATATGAATAATAATAATAATAATAAGAAGAATAAGAATACGTGGAGAAATCACATTACAGTGATATATATCAATTAATTCACGGCTCCTGTGGATTTTCTCAATAATAATAATAATAATAATAATAATAATAATAATACTGTAATAATGATAATGGTAATTTATATAAGCCACTAATACACAAAGCATTTTGGGCATAACTCTACATAAATAGGATATTTATCTATATTAAAAGTTTAATTGGGTAAGACTTTACACAAAACATGAGAGTGCATGCACTAACTTGATATTTAACATATTCAAGGATTTCAGTAAGCGTGTTGACTTTGGTGTCGGAAAAATGGAGTTGTTTGTTGCAATTGCTGGTTTGTATTGAGTAATTAGGGGTCAAAGATAATCTTTTATTGTAAATCCCTTGGCACAGATACCATAGATGAAATACAGAGCGATACGCAAACAATATTGTGATACCAAGAGCCTGTTTACAGTTAGGTGAACACATACAAAGTGACATGAGATGTGCCCAAATACATACATCTTGCTGTGGGAATCAAACCCTGGCCATTCATTTGTAAACATGCTGCATTAACCACTGTGCTACAGAACCCACTACACTGACCACTGTGCTACAGGGAACCCACTACACTGACCACTGTGCTACAGGGAACCCACTACACTGACCATTGTGCTACAGGGAACCCACTACACTGACCACTGTGCTACAGAACCCAGTACACTGACCATTGTGCTACAGGGAACCCACTACACTGACCACTGTGCTACAGAGCCCACTACACTGACCACTATGCTACAGGGAACCCACTACACTGACCATTCTGCGACAGGGAACCCACTACACTGACCACTGTACTACAGAACCCAGTACACTGACCACTATGCTACAGATAACCCACTACACTGACCACTGTGCTACAGAACCCAGTACACTGACCACTATGCTACAGGTAACCCACTACACTGACCATTGTGCTACAGGGAACCCACTACACTGACCACTGTGCTACAGAACCCAGTACACTGACCACTATGCTACAGGGAACCCACTACACTGACCATTGTGCTACAGGGAACCCACTACACTGACCACTATGCTACAGGGAACCCAGTACACTGACCATTGTGCTACAGGGAACCCACTACACTGACCACTGTGCTACAGAACCCAGTACACTGACCACTATGCTACAGGTAACCCACTACACTGACCACTGTGCTACAGGGAACCCACTACACTGACCACTATGCTACAGGGAACCCACTACACTGGCCACTATGCTACAGGGAACCCACTACACTGACCACTGTGCTACAGGGAACCCACTACACTGACCACTGTGCTACAGGGAACCCACTACACTGACCACTGTGCTACAGGGAACCCACTACACTGACCACTGTGCTACAGGGAACCCACTACACTGACCACTGTGCTACAGGGAACCCACTACACTGACCACTGTGCTACAGGGAACCCACTACACTGACAACTATGCTACAGGGAACCCAGTACAATGACAACTATGCTACAGGGAACCCAGTACAATGACAGCTATGCTACAGGGAACCCAGTACAATGACAACTGTGCTACAGGGAACCCAGTACAATGACAGCTATGCTACAGGGAACCCACTACACTGACCACTGTACTACAAGGCACCCAGTACACTGACCACTGTGCTACAGGGAACCCACTACACTGACCACTGTACTACAAGGCACCCAGTACAATGACAACTGTGCTACAGGGAACCCAGTACAATAACTATGCTACAGGGAACCCAGTACAATGACAACTATGCTACAGGGAACCCACTACACTGACCACTGTACTACAAGGCACCCAGTACACTGACCACTGTGCTACAGGGAACCCACTACACTGACCACTATGCTACAGGGAACCCACTACACTGACCACTGTACTACAAGGCACCCAGTACACTGACCACTGTGCTACAGGGAACCCACTACACTGACCACTGTACTACAGGGAATCCAGTACAATGACAGCTATGCTACAGGGAACCCACTACACTGACCACTGTGCTACAAATAACTTCAACACTTTTGACTATGTGCAATTATTCATTTACCATTGAATTTTACCTTGTTAAACCATTCTCTCTCAACCATTACTTCCATCAGGTGTAACTTACCGAGGCCTCCTGCTTCCCCATTTGTTTCCACAGTGAAGAGCGCTGGGTAGCCCACCACACCCCCCTTCAGCCCTGGCCCGTACGCTCTAATTCGAGTCTCTTTGTATGGTCCAATATTCACCTGGAATAATGCAAATATTCAAATGATACAACATACTTTATACTATTGACAATTAGATCCCTCTACATCTACTACATATTAATAATCATATTTCTAAACATATTTGATGGTTCTTACATATTTGTGTTGGTGAGGACTGAGATTGAACTCCTGGGGCCCCAAATTTTAAGTTGTCTCTTATCTAGCTGCTGCAATGACTTTTGACCTTCTATTGCTTCATCTTACCTACATTTAAAAACAATGAATGGCTTCTACTACCTCTTGTTCAAATGCATTCCACTTGCCTACTTCCTGAATACTGTACTTAAAATACATTTTCTGGGTGGAGCCCCGTAGGCTCCGGGGAGCCTCTGAGACTCATCCTGAAAATGGCGTTTCATTACATTCAACGCTGGTTTTTTGCAATATGAGGAAATAGTTTTGCCAACTATTCTTGCTGCTCTACTCTTTTTATTTATCTGCAGACTACTCTTTCATTTATAACCCCATCCTCAGTTGTGCGCCAAATTTGTAAACTACTCCTTTCTACTGGGCTGAATAGTTTTCCAGGAATAGGGGTGAGGGGAGGGGGGGGTTGTTTTTCTTTTTGGACAAGTCACTTTCTAGAGGGAAGCATTTGTAAGTGTTGACTTATAGTCACATACACTTATTTCCCCTGGGATTTTTCCATGGTGGTCTGACTGGGCCCATCTTGCTTTACCCAAATCTCCTCCTCCATCCCTGTTTTCGCATCTTGTATCTCCATTGCACTATTTCCTATGTCCTTCCTACAATGCACCCTATTCTTCTTCTCGGTTTCTTTTAGTTTCTTCCATTTCGTCTTTACTTATCTCTTGGTCAGTGAACACCAGGCAGTATCTGCCTCCATCCTTCAGTTTTTTTTTCTCAATATGTACTTACTATTGTAGATGATTTCTTTGAAAGATAATCTTTATGGGTATCTGTTGTCCATGTTGAACCTTATATACTCTATATCCACAAAAGCTGTCTTTTTGTATTTATGGACTTGTATTAATATCTTTATTTATACATATTTATTTAACCCATTCAAATATACGATCACGCAGCATTAATCCAGCGTGTAATAATAATTATATCAGACAACAACACATGGTCACTAAAGCTAAGAAGTGGACACTGACTGCAACTCCAAGTGAGACGGGTCCAGTTCAGAAATATGGAGTCATCACATAACAACAACTGATCCCAATGTGTACAATACAGAGGTTTACTATATACTGTACTGTCCTGTATATACAATACTGAACCAAATATTAAAGTATGCAACATTAAGCATGTCTTATTTAGACTACTATAATACATCTTTTTACCTCAAATGGGCTTTTGGGAATCTCCTGCCCCCCATATGTCACCATCACAATGTAGCGACCCTCCTTCTTGGGGTGATAAATATATTCAAATGTGAATGCATCTATTTGCTTCGTTTTGACAACTTCATGGGTTCCACCTGAAAAATGTTTTCAAATGTTACTGAAAAGAATATAAAGAAAAGATATACAGAGCATATATATATATATATAAATTGCTTGAGTGCATGAGGCAAAAGGTATCTATAGGATGGCATATTTCATGATACAAACTCCGGACTACAGAGATGGTTGTGGTCGGTGCTGTGTAATTACCTAAGTGTAGTTACCTAAATGTAGTTACTGGATGAGAGCTATTCTCATGGTTTTTGTGATCCACCACCGCTCATAACTTGTGCCTACTGTCTGCCACTCTGTTTGCAAAAGAGAACTCTCTAACATTTTTCACCACCTTTGTTTCCTAAGCATGAATCTATGGCCTCCAGTTCTTGAATTGTCAGTTTCAATAATTTCTCTTTATTGATTTTGTTGATTCCTATTACTATTTTGTATATAGAGATCATAGTGCCTCTTTTTCTTCTATCGGGTGTATTTAACACCTCTAGCCTCTCCTGAACGTGTTAATTTCTGGGAGCATTTAGTAGCATGTCTTTGCACCTTTTCCAGTTCCTTGATGTGCATCCTGAGATATGAGAACCATATAATATGTGCATATTCCAATTTTAGTCTCACAAAAGTCATAGATGGTCTCTTTAATATTTCCCAGTCCATGTAATTAAAAGCAATTCTGAAGTTGGAAAGCATATCAAAAGCTCCTTGCACAATATCTTTTATGTGGCCCTCTGGTGACAATTTGCTATCCAGAATCACCCCCAGATCTCTTTCATTATACAAGATCTTTAATGCCTTTTCACATAATTTCTAGGTTGTGTGTGTATACTATTTTCTCCTATTACACATTCCATAACATGGCATTTATTTATTTATTTATTCAATTATTTATTTATTTATTTATTTATTTACAAGAAGGTGCAATGAGTTTGTGAAAGTACATAAAACTGGTATTTTTACATTCTTGCCAAGCCTAACACGCATAAGGTTCCGGCAGGTCTTTAATCCTAACAGATCAGGTTAGATGAACAGATGCATTGTAGCAAAATTTGATATCAACATACAGCTACAATATAAATTGACAGAGGTGATTACACTGGTGAAGATGTATGTCTTAAATACTAGTATTAAGGGAGTGGCTAGCACAAGATACAGTGTGAATTTGAAGCACTAGGTAGGAAACTATGAAGATGAAATTAGGTACTTTTTGTAGAATATTTATTAATTTATAAATATTTATTTGTCAAATTCCATCTGCCAAGTATTGCTCTATTCAGAAATTTTGTCTAGGTCATCTTGAATGGCATGACAATAGAATAAGTCTGTGTGTGTGTGTGTGTGTGTGGGGCAATACAGTGGCAGTAAAATCACATGTTATTGTGATACTTTTGAGCCCAATGTGGTCAAACAGGTTGCGTGTTTCTGGAGAGGCCACAGACAAAAGTTCAATCTCATTTTATTGACTCAATATTTTCTCACATATATATATATTTACCTTTAGTCAGTGGCAGTAAAATCACATGTTATTGTGATACTTTTGAGCCCAATGTGGTCAAACAGGTTGCGTGTTTCTGGAGAGGCCACAGACAAAAGTTCAATCTCATTTTATTGACTCAATATTTTCTCACATATATATATATTTATTTATTTATTTGATAAATAAATGTATTTGGGTGGAAGGTGGGGATCATCATTACTATAGTGAAAGGGGGGTAGGAATCATGTAAAACTTAGATTGTGAGTACTGGTACAGCTAGATGCCTTCCCAAGTCCATATATGTTTATGTTAGTTCTGGTATGTTTACATAGGTTGAGGGGTCCTCAGTATATGAACAAATGTTTTAGGGGTTGTGGTATGGTAGAAAGGTTGGGAATCATTGCTATAAAGTATTTCTAATGGGATAATTGTGTCTGTTCACATTTCATCCAGGAGTACTGAGGTTCTTTCATTCTCAATTAAATGAATTTCTTTGTTAGCATTTTCTCATCACTCTAATACGTTAATATAATATTTAAAACAAATCCTTTACTTAATAGGAACCCATGAACTATAAGCATTTAGAAAATAAATCACTGCCAATTACTATATACAAATTACAGCATATCATACAGTATTTATACAAATAAGTGACTTTCTATGTACCTGGCCCAATGACCTTAACTTCCACATTGCCCTCGCCAGCTCCCTCAGTGTGCACTTTGAAGTCAGCTGAATCTTTTACTCTCACACCGTTGGGTTGTAGTCCACGACCCGAAGCTCTAACCTTCCGAGCATCACACACTAGAAAAATGAACAGAAATTTATACAAGGAGTCATTTTATACAAAGCCATTTAATGAGGTTATTCATAAACAGAAGTAAAAGTAGAATCTAAAAATTTTCCAACAGATCTAGTTCAATAAACACTGATGCTACCTCTAAACTACAGTACAGTATCTGATATTGGGATATTTTTAAAATAGAAATCTGTAATTTTTCTACCATTTTAAGCGTAACTAGATTTATGCTCACCTGGGGACACCTTGACGCCATATGGACTTCCTGGAATGGACTGCCCGGCAAAGAAGATGTTGATGGAATGTAAACCAATACCAGAGGCTACGTACTCACAGCGGTACACATCCTCACTAATCGAACGAGTCTTAACTGGTACTGTGTTTTTATGACCAGCCGGATCCAATATAATGACTTCTGGAGTTCCACGGCCTGCATCTAATGTGGTAGGAGAGGATTGGGAGAAACGGGAACGAGGGCTTGTAAGAATGGTGCTAGAGCGTCGACGGCCAGTGTTAGTATGAGAGAAGGGAAAGTTACCATACAAAGAAGTTTGTGGATCTACCGAGGATTTAGGGGTAGATTGGGGGGAGTTTAGGAAAGCATAAAATACGGTGGTATGGGAAAAAACATTATAAATGTTAGAAAATCATGCAAAAATTTGATAAAACAAAAAAGTTTTGTAATGCAAAGTTATTGAGGAATTATTTTAGGTAACATGAAAAAGACACACAAAGAAACAAAATTTTACCATTCAGAAAATATAATTAATTAGGATTATATAATATTTAAAACCAAAATTATAATGGTTAAATTAAACATATATAATAAAAGTTAACATATGTGAAGAAAGTGAGTAGAAAGACAAATTCATAATTTATATTTTTAAATTATAATCAATCAAGTGAGGAGTGGCAGACAGATGTGACACAAGTATTTTATTATGCAACCAATTTATTTAAATTAGAATACAGTATAAGTGAAAATAAGGTAAAGCGTATTTGATAAAGAAATACAATAGTGTGTAAATTTGACCAATGACAAATGTTTCAAAGATTATGTATTGAACAAGAATATAAGACAGTTTGTTATATATTTGTGTAACAGTGTGCACGAATTTGTAAAATATATATTTGAGGATTAATACAAAGATAGAGTATAGAGATTTGTAAAGTGCAAAGATCAAGAACAGTAGTCAGAGAAATGGTAGATAATATTTTTATAACAAAACAAAATTATTATTAAACATTCGGTTTCAATAATTAATAAAAAATGAAGAAAACAACAAGCAAAATAATAGAATAAAACCCAAGCCAAAGCCAGAGAGAAGAGCGAGAGAGTCGTAGTGTTAGTAAACAAGGGGGTGTAGAGGAGGGATAAAAAAATAGTTTCGTCAGTACATTAAGCATTACGCATCTATACTATATTACTTATATTAATTGTATTTCTCTACATGACAATATTGTTATGACATTTACTCAGCTTAATGTGAAGCTACTTTGTACAGTATTAGGCAGAAATAGCCATCACCAGAAGAATAAAATAATTTGTTATTTACTCAAAAAATGATCTGCACCTGGGAGAGTGAAAATGGCTACCCACTCAACTAAACAAGCTACTTTCTAAAGTATTAGTCAAATTCCTATCAATGTATTGGCTAGGTATATATATCTAGCTACTAGTCAACAACGATAAAACATTAAATGTAAAAAAATGCAAGACATACTCCATTGACAAGGAAACACCTAATAATTTATTGACTTATGGTAATACTTAATATTGAAGTACAGTACTATGGGAACTATGTACAGTCGCACTCTAACAGTTAACTAACAGCTTCCTTGGCAAAGAATTGTTGGTATTAACAGTTATAGAAACAGCAATATTGCATATAATTCTCTTACATAGGCAGTGACTTTAGTTGTAAGTCTATTAAGCAATGAACAGAATAGATTGAGTTTATTAAATCATAAGCAACTAAATAAAGATGCAATTCAAGGTTGGTTGTTTTAGTACCATATCCAACCACTAGTTGTACGAACAAACCACACAGAGTGCAGTGCTTCAATTCTTCCTTAAGAATATGAACAATTAACAAACTCACAAGCCTAGAGACGCATACCATTACACTCAAGAACAGACACGTCCAAGTCACATCCTGCTCTCTGAATCAGCAAAGTGCATTTCCACAGGCTCAATTTCATTAATTTGTTACAGAAAATATGAAATTTTAGGTGGGATCCAAATTCCTCGATGAAGCAGCCAAAATGAAAAAGCTTCTTTATTGACAAGATTTGTTTATAAAAACTCCTAATGGCTACAAAGATTTTTCAAAAAGGATGCATGATAGAAGATGAGTATTAGCAAGTCCTATCTTTTAATTCAATTATAAAGATAAAATTATGGACCGAAACCAAGTTCTATAACCAAATAGTTATTCAGCGATCACCCAAATTTTGGAAATACAGGTAATATGAAGCACAACAAGTGGAGAATCATGAATGGTGCTCATTATACTGCATTAACTTTAACACAAGAATAACTAGCTATGAACACCATAACACAAGAGTAACTATATGAACCACTTTAACACACTAGCTATGAACACAAGAACACAAGAATAACTAGCTATGAAGACCATCTTTAACACAAGAGTAACTAGCTATGAACACTAACTTTAATACCAGAGTAACTAGCTATGAATACCAACTTCCACACAGGCACCATCTAACGAGGCAATACCAATACGTCAGATCATATCTGAGGCCCAGCATAATTTGTAACTGAAACTCTTTCATAAACATTTTTTACCTGCTCCAACAATTTGAGACAATGTTTCTAAGCGAAGAACATTTACCTTACCACGCATTCTGCATTGAATTTATCTAATTTTCGTATACTTTACAGAGTCTCAGTTTTCTTTCTAATACTGTAAAAGTGAATCTTTTAATTACTGGGTTTTAATCTTTGAATGCAAGAAAGTGGTACCTGTTTATCTTATGTGACAGAAAAAAATGATACTTCCTAAGCAAGAAATTAGTCTCCTGCTGCACTCAAGTGAGAACAAGAAAGTGATGCCTGATGAGATGTCAGCAAGAAAGTGATACATGTTTCACTTATGCAAAGTAAAGTGGTAGTACCTACTTCACATATGTAAACAATAAAGAGAGGATGACTACTTCACTTAAGTGGCAACAAGAAAGTGATGCCAGCTTCATCTTAGTGAAAACAAGGAAGTAGTTCCTGCTTTACTTAAGTGACAACAAGTGACAACAAGGAAGTAGTGCTTGCTTTTCTTAAGTGACAACAAGGAAGTAGTGCCTGCTTTACTTAACTGACAACAAGTGACAACAAGGAAGTAGTGCCTGCTTTTCTTAAGTGACAACAAGTGACAACAAGGAAGTAGTGCCTGCTTTTCTTAAGTGACAACAAGTGACAACAAGGAAATAGTGCCTGCTTTACTTAAGTGACAACAAGTGACAACAAGGAAGTAGTGCCTGCTTTACTTAACTGACAACAAGCGACAACAAGGAAGTAGTGCCTGCTTTTCTTAAGTGACAACAAGTGACAACAAGGAAGTAGTGCCTGCTTTTCTTAACTGACAACAAGTGACAACAAGGAAGTAGTGCCTGCTTTACTTAAGTGACAACAAGTGACAACAAGGAAGTAGTGCCTGCTTTTCTTAACTGACAACAAGTGACAACAAGGAAGTAGTGCCTGCTTTTCTTAACTGACAACAAGTGACAACAAGGAAGTAGTGCCTGCTTTTCTTAAGTGACAACAAGTGACAACAAGGAAGTAGTGCCTGCTTTTCTTAACTGACAACAAGGAAGCAATGCCTGCTTTTTTTTAAGTGGCAACAAGGAAGTAGTTCCTGCTTTTCTTAAGTGACAACAAGAAACTAGTTCTTGCTTTGCTTAAGTAACAGCAAGAAACTGATGATTGTTTATATAACAGCAAGTAATTGAAGGCTGTTTATATAACAGTAAGAAATTGATGCTTGTTATATAACAGCAAGAAAACAGTGCTTGCATGAGTGACATCAACTGCCTAGAGCCTCACAGCTGGGTTCTCCTGTGACCACTGAATTAAGGCAATATTAACAATGTGCTGACTTTCTGTCACTTGGTGCAAAAGATGCATTTGGTGCTGCAGGACACCAAACCAAATGAACAGTCCTGCTTTATTCCCTCAGGTGCACCACACCACCAGTGAACAAGGGTACAGCATAATACTTTATGACTTGGCTGAGAAGTCATTAGGAATACTGTATTACTAAATTTAACTCTACAGAAACGTAAGCATATACTGTAATAATGTATTTAAATCTGAAAAAATATACAGCATACAAATAGGCTGACATGAAAGCATAATGGCATTGGAAGTTTTCAACCTTACCCAACTCACCCTTAGTAAATATATCAAAATATGTTGGTTTGTTAATGGTGACTCCCTCAGGCTCCAGCCCTGGGCCTGAGGCTGTGACCTTTGTGGGATCGCCCGCAAACCCTGACACATTGACCCGGAATGGTGATTTAGGAATCTCTCGTCCACTGAACCTATGAATAAAATATAATATTCACTGCTACTTTGTTATGTAAATACAATAGGAATACTTAAAAGCTTTCTAAAAAGTTTTACTATCTCATTATTCAAATATAACTGCTGAAAAGTTAAGGAACATTAAGAAGTACAACATTTTAAATGGAAGGAATCAGTGTATCTTCAGGGAAACTGTGTTTGAAAAGAACATTTGAGTACTTCCAGATAATTTTATAAGAAAATATATGAATGTGGCCAAAATACTTTAAGAAATTTTGCTGAATTGAAATATGACATTAATTTACCACAGCAACACCTGCTTCATAAGTAATTATCAAAAGAAGGCACCAAGTTGTTAATAATAAATGACATTTACTATATCAAGATTATTGTATCACATTACAGTATTGACAAAAGGAATACTTACTTGACAATGACAACAAAGTCCCCCTCACACTGAGGAGTGTACTTGCAGGTGTATGTTAAGTTCCTGTCATTGTTGAACTTACACTCCAGCTGCCAAAATATTGGAAAAGGTCAGTAATCCATTAAAAACACAAAATTTTGATCATGTAAGTTAAATGCATTGTAATATTTTATATATATATATATATATATATATATATATATATATATATATATATATATATATATATATATATATATATATATATATATATATATATATATATATACTGTATATATGTATGTATGTCATACCTAATAGCTAGAATTGCCTAACAAGAAGAATTTTTGTGAAATATTTAATTTTTCCCAAAAAATTTCTTATGAAATGTTAATGTTTTCATTGTATTATACTGTATATGATTGCACTATAATGTCATTTGAGTCAAAACTAACATAGAAATTTCAACAACCCTAACCTAACCTAACCACACCCACATCATATAATCTGTCAATGACACTATAATGGAAATTCACATTTCATTCACTTGGGCACTGGAAAACTTGAACTCTCGACCCAACAAGTATGAGACAAAAACTTTACCTCTAGGCCACACAGACAACTCCAACAGAGATGATTTCAGAGGCAGCAAACCACTGCCCATTTGAAATTTTATACTTCTCCCAGCCACCATTTTTGGTCCCAGGCATTTAGTGATCCACGGCCATGTTATATAAACTTTCAACTATCTTATAAGTATGTTATAACACACTATCGCTATATGACATGGGCGTGGATCACTAGTCCCAAAGCAGTGGCTGGGAGAAATACAGCATTTCAGAGGGACAGTGGTTTGCTGCCTCTGAGATCTTCTCTATTGTAGCATCTGCGTGGCCTAGAGGTGTAGTTTTTGCCTCACACTCGTGGGGGGCGAGAGTTCAAGTCTCCCAGGGCCCAAGTGAATGAAAATATATATATAGTGTGTGTATATATATATACTGTATACTATATGAAAGAAATATTAACACTGAAAATGTCAATTGGCACAACATTAAGCCTACGACAACTTGACACTAAAACCTCTTCAATACCCGGTACTCACATTTTCCACACGACCATCAGGTGTTTGCAAGAAAGCTTCAACTTTTCCTTTTCCAGCACTAAAAGTCTCTATGGTGAAATTAGTGGGTGCCCCAACTACTGGTCCTGAGGATTCTATGCCTGGCCCATAGCAGCGTACCCTGTTATAGACACGTCGTCATCATACACTAACATCAACACATTAAATTCATAACTAATTTTATTAAAAATATGAAACAAAACTATATTTATCTTGTGCTATAAAATATATTTATCTTGGGCTATATTTATTGCAATGTCTAAATGTACAATGAATATACTGTATATAAACAAAATACAATACCAATAAAATTAGACTGATTATTCATGACCAGAGAAAAAGTAAACGGTGACGTCACAGTGTTGTTAAACGACACATTCAATGTGACTTGTCAATTTCTAATGGAATTAATGGCATTTCTAATGGCACACCAACAAAGGTTCTACCAATAAACATGTAGAGTACATTCTTCCAATGATAAAGTTTACCAAACAAAAAAAAGTATTTAAAATACTTGTGTTTTGACCCATATCTAAGAAGCTAAATCCTTCTGATCTAGAAATGCACCCGATTATTCAATCTCTAAAGCCAGAGAATATTTATGAGCAATCTGCATCATTGGTACTACACATAAGGGGCATAACTGGCCGACCCCTCACAGTGTTCAAGAGAGAACTGGATAAGCACCTCCAAAGGATACCTGATCAACCAGGCTGTGACTCATACGTCAGGCTGCGAGCAGCCGCGTCCAACAGCCTGGTTGATCACTCCGGCAACCAGGAGGCCTGGTCGACAACCGGGCCGCGGGGACGCTAAGCCCCGGAAGCACCTCAAGGTAACCTCAAGGTTGGTACCCCTCACCTTGTTCAGTTTTCTTGGTAAACTGAATGCAATCTTTGGCTGTATTACAATTTTGCTTAGGGAAATAATATTTAGATCATGGAAATGTGATTTTTATCAACATGTCATAGGATATAATGTATTATGTGTAGATCAGTGTATGCATGAATAAGATTTGAAAATCTATGCAATCAATTTGCATATGTAATTCCATTACATTTTGAACCCTAAAACACATACTGTACTGTAATGTATATTAGAATACATGAAGCATTACTGCAACTTAATCAACAAAATGTCACAATAACTGACAGTACTCATCTTAGTTATCTTATTTTGATTAGTGCTAAGTTGTCATTTCCTACACCACGTCTCTTATACGCATTTCAATATGATTTACCCAAAACGATTTTAATATTTCAACATGATTTATTCCTGAAACACTTTGCGTTCCGGGCATAAATAATATTGGCATTAGGCATAGTAAATACTTTTTCTACCTAGAAATCCAACATTCTGCTTGTAACTCATTTTGTATGTACAGTATGTACTTTTTCCTAAATAAACATTATCATTATCATTTACCTTTACAGAGCTGAGCCTAATTACTGTACTTTCACTACAGTATGAATACAAATTCACACACATCTGTCTGAGTGTTGATACAGTGTAAACACACCAAGAATGTGCTGTTTGAGCTTGGCATTTCTCAGCCAATACAAATAAATTTTGTGTCAGTATACAGTATTATATGTACTGATCCTGGACGGCATCGAACCCATGTCGTCCAGGATCACCCCTAAACGTACACAGTACGCATGGTCATGGTACTGTGTACGTTTAGGGGTGATCCTGGATGGCATGGGTTTGAATCCTGGCCGGGTCAAAGAGTTCTTGGTGATCTATGGCTTGCGCGTTCATGCGGCTTTCTTACATATATATATATATATATATATATATATATATGGTGTATACTGGCAGCAGGTTTTCTTTCAAACATGTTTCATTGAATATGACCGCATATTCTGTATTTATTATTTTTTGGTTTAGGGCTTCTATCCCTCTAACTATTTTCTTAGCATCAGGGCTTAATTGGAATAGGAGTTCTCCAAAACTCATTTTCGTACTTTTAAGGTGAAGAAAAGAAGTGATTTACTATAGAGTGTATTACACTTATTTGTATAATTTGCACGACGTTTCGAACCTCCATGGTTCATTCTCAAGTGAACAGATCTTACAATACTAGTTGATTTTATACCCGCATTAGGTCAGGTGATAATACAATGAAGGTGAAAAACATGGGGGGATACATAAGGGATAAACATAGGGGCTGCAGAAGGCTTATTGGCCCATACGAGGCATCTCCTATCCAAACACAAAGATTAATCCAGTGTAATTGGCCTGTTATGTTGGACATTGTCTTCTGTGTTGGCATCGATATGTTCTTGTCTTGTCCTTACTCTCATGGTGGGTAGAGTGGGTACTCTACCCACCATGAGAGTAAGGACAAGACAAGAACATATCGATGCCAACACAGAAGACAATGTCCAACATAACAGGCCAATTACACTGGATTAATCTTTGTGTTTGGATAGGAGATGCCTCGTATGGGCCAATAAGCCTTCTGCAGCCCCTATGTTTATCCCTTATGTATCCCCCCATGTTTTTCACCTTCATTGTATTATCACCTGACCTAATGCGGGTATAAAATCAACTAGTATTGTAAGATCTGTTCACTTGAGAATGAACCATGGAGGTTCGAAACGTCGTGCAAATTATACAAATAAGTGTAATACACTCTATAGTAAATCACTTCTTTTCTTCACCTTAAAAGTACGAAAATGAGTTTTGGAGAACTCCTATTCCAATTAAGCCCTGATGCTAAGAAAATAGTTAGAGGGATAGAAGCCCTAAACCAAAAAATAATAAATACAGAATATGCGGTCATATTCAATGAAACATATATATATATATATATATATATATATATATATATATATATATATATATATATATATATATATATATATATATATATATGCAAACAAGCCTGAATGGTCCCCAGGACTATATATATTCTGGGGTGTGAGTTTTCAGTTATATATATATATATATATATATATATATATATATATATATATATAAATTGTGGCATTAATCTAATTCAAAGTTTTCTAAATTTATTGAATATATTTAGCTTTGATGTTTGGTGTGTAATTTTAGTTTCAAACTATAATAAATGAATGCATATTTTTCATTTAATATAATGTACATAAATTCTGTATGGAAGAGACAGCATTTTGCTAGAAATGTTAAAGACAAGTGTACTTATTTAAGAACCTTAATATTTGTTCAGGATTTTTGTTATGTTTTGAGTTATTTATTCAGTGCAAATTACATAATCTTGAATTTGTATCTTAGGAGAACATTTCTTAGGACATCTCTTAGTTCAACTGTCAAACAAGTCATCTCTTATCACCAAGGTCTTAGGACATGTCTTATCACCAAGGTCTTAGGGCATGTCTTATCACCAAGGTGTTGGGACATCTCTTAGTTCAACTGCTAAACTGGTCATCTCTTATCACCAAGGCCTTGGGACATCTCTTAGTTCAACTGCTAAACTGGTCATCTCTTATCACCAAGGCCTTGGGACATCTCTTAGTTCAACTGCTAAACTGGTCATCTCTTATCACCAAGGAAACTTCAATAAATCACAATGGCCTGCCTTGGACTTATAATCAGGACGAGTATTTAATTCATAAACAACAGAAACAAACAACACAAACCACATTGCTCATAACTGTCATCCTTCTGGAGTGTAAAATTGCTGTCAGGAAAAGCCAGGTAAAACTTTCAACAAATTAATGTTAAAAGGATAAAAGTGGCTTTTGAAATGCAGAGGGAATGCAACGTATTTCTAACTGATACATGTAGCAGCTGTATCTAGCGGATGTATCTGCTAGATATATGCAGATGTATCACAGTTATCCAAGGAGGTGAGAGCATGACAGTGAACAAAGGCCTCAACTATGTGTTATGGGACTAGAAAAAAACCTGGGGTCAGATCCATGAAAGCACTTACGCAAGCACTTACGAACCTGTTCATCTTTTCTCAATCTTTGGCAGCTTTGTTTACAATTATTAAACAGTTAATGAGCTCCGAAGCACCACGAGGCTGTTTATAACAATAACAATAGTTGCATGGGAAGTTTTCACGCTTGAAAGCTGTTTAATAAATGTAACCAAATCCGTCAAAGATTGAGGAAAGATGTACACGTTCGTAAGTGCTTGCGTAAGTGCTTTCGTGAATCTGGCTCCTGGAAGCTGAGGGTGCGGCACTACAAGTGAACACTATCCCAGCAAGGGTTGTCTAACCATTCTATGTTAAAGTGATCATTATTCCACTATGGCAAGAGTTAAACTTTCGCTGGCAACACCATATTTACTTACATTGGGTTTCCTGATGGACTGTAAATTATAAGAATACATTTGGTGATTCAGATACTGTGGCTACACTTTACTAGAAGGAACTATGTTTTGTACAGTACAGTAATAAGGAATATGAACTACCAGCAGCAAAGCTTAGGCTTTTATGAAGAATATATATACTGCATATATATGTACACAAGGTATAGTTACTGTTCTACATATGGTCAAAAAGATACTACAATTAAATTGTATAAAAGCAGTTACAAAACTACTTTTTTTATTAAACTATTTCACTTTCCTTATATAGCATTATAATCAACCGTACCTTCAACTATTTTTGTTTATCTAACCCAGGCCAGTTTTCACTCCTGGTATTCATTCATCCACTTTTTTATTAATTTGCTTCAAAACCTTAATTACTTCAATGAGTATAAACTAATAGCAATACCCACCAAGACCCCCATTAGAAAGACTTCAATTACTATTTCCTCTAGCATTTACAGAAAGTGGATGAAAACTAGTTTATCGCATTCATTCCTGGTACACCAAGCACACACACACACACACAAGGAGAATTACAAATATGCAAGAACAGAATAGAGATGAGATCTCACTTACAGACAAGTCACACATACTGCTACAACACACTACACACTTACAGACACTTCTATAACACACGAGTCACACCCACTGCTACAGTACACTTAATCAAACAAGTTTCCAGCCTGTCATATGCACACACACGTGACCACACAGTAATTCAACTTAGGTAATTACACGCAGACGTGCCCCCCGCCCCCGACACACACACACACACACACACACACACACACACACGCGTGTGCCAACTTACTTGCCAGGGTTGGTGCGAGGACGGAGAGGCGCCCCACTCTTCAGCTTACAGTTCGGGTACTGTGACAGATAGGTCATCATTGACTGTTCATCAATGCTTGGGCTCAACATTTCCTCAGGCGTGATCAACTGAACAGGAGAAAAGTTTCGCGAAATTTAAATAATTGAACATTAGACACATATTTCACGTCACATTAATCCTAAGGTAATGTACGTGCTCTTCAGAGATTTATATAGTGGTAATAAAAATTAATGATGATAATAATATTATAATTAATGCACAAAGAAATCCTATTAACGTGATGTATCAATGAGAGAATTGGTAGGAGCCGTGAGGATTCGAACCTAAGTCGAAGCAAACGCCTCAGACGTCACCTCAACATGGTAAATGAATTGCAACCTGGGATTCACCTGAATCCTCTAGGGTTCCTGAGGCTTCCTAAAAGCTCCCCTAGAGGCTTCAGTTTAATCCCAGGTTGCAATTATTTTAGCAGGTCATGGTATGGTTGTCTAAGCCGTTTGATTGGGAGTACCCAGAACACAGGTTCGAATCGTCCTCACGGATCCTATTGATTTTATTATTATTATTATTATCACAATCGTCACAATTATTATCAATTATTATCACAATCCTCACAATCCCAATGTACCTTCTTTTATATATATTTAAATAAATAAATAACTAAATTATTAATATTATTTTCTCAATATTATTATTGATAATAATAATAATAATAATAATAATAATAATAATAATAATAATAATCCCAGAAATTGCGGCTGGCAATACTTTGGTCAACGGTTCGCATCACCTCAATAATAATAACGTTTTTGTGAGGACGACAAAAACGTCACATCAAGTATGACGTCCCCAAGACACAAATGTAGCAGCACCCGAGACACACAGGTGTGTGGCACCCAATACACACCTGTGGCACTCCGAGCCAGTTGTCAGCGATGTTCATGGCTTCGGTGGCATTAGAGAGGGCGTCAGCGGGGACCCAGTCTGGCCAGTCCGGGCAGAGGCCGGCGGCCACGGCGTCGACCAGGGCCCCGACGGCCCGCCCGTCGTTCCAGTCGTTGGTGAAGTTGGTGATGGGGAGGTCCGGCAGCTTGCTCTGGATCCAGTGCAGCAGCCTAAAACAACCACAACGAAGATATCTTAAAAAAAAACATTTGCATGAAACACTAATCAAAATGTTATTAAATTTTTGGGCCGAGGAGCGAGTTTATTGGGCAGCGCCATTCATCCTGTGAGTGGACACACCGCCATAGTGACAGTATTGGGCAGCGCCACTCATCCTGTGAGTGGACACACCGCCATAGTGACAGTATTGGGCAGCGCCACTCATCCTGTGAGTGAACACACCGCCATAGTGACAGTATTGGGCAGCGCCACTCATCCTGTGAGTGGACACACCGCCATAGTGACAGTATTGGGCAGCGCCACTCATCCTGTGAGTGGACACACCGCCATAGTGACAGTATTGGGCAGCGCCACTCGTCCTGTGAGTGGACACACCGCCATAGTGACAGTATTGGGCAGCGCCACTCATCCTGTGAGTGGACACACCGCCATAGTGACAGTATTGGGCAGCGCCACTCATCCTGTGAGTGGACACACCGCCATAGTGACAGTATTGGGCAGCGCCACTCATCCTGTGAGTGGACACACCGCCATAGTGACAGTATTGGGCAGCGCCACTCATCCTGTGAGTGGACACACCGCCATAGTGACAGTATTGGGCAGCGCCACTCATCCTGTGAGTGGACACACCGCCAGAGTGACAGTATTGAGCAGCGCCACTCATCCTGTGAGTGGACACACCGCCATAGTGACAGTATTGGGCAGCGCCACTCATCCTGTGAGTGGACACACCGCCATAGTGACAGTATTGGGCAGCGCCACTCATCCTGTGAGTGGACACACCGCCATAGTGACAGTATTGGGCAGCGCCACTCATCCTGTGAGTGGACACACCGCCATAGTGACAGTATTGGGCAGCGCCACTCATCTTGTGAGTGGACACACCGCCATAGTGACAGTATTGGGCAGCGCCACTCATCCTGTGAGTGGACACACCGCCATAGTGACAGTATTGGGCAGCGCCACTCATCCTGTGAGTGGACACACCGCCATAGTGACAGTATTGGGCAGCGCCACTCATCCTGTGAGTGGACACACCGTCATAGCAGCATGTACAACACTCCCCCAATAGGAAGAAAACTCGCTGGGTTGTTCATCCTGTCACTTGCACTCAGACAGCTGGGACTTGCTTAACTGTCTCAAGTGAACAGCTTATCAAACAAGTAGATTAACATTCGTCAACCCTTAGTGTTAACGCGTAAAGCTCAACGCAGGTTTAATATCTTGTCTGACGAAAGGTTACCAGTTTAAATTAAAAAAAAATAAGGCAGGAAACACGCAAAGAGGGATATTGTGAGGTAGTGGTTTTGGAAAAAAGGGTTGTGGTTAAATGCAATAGGCCGCTGATTGGAATTATTGCGACAAACAGTTTACAAGTTTAACCTTGGGAGGGGGGGGGCAGGCACTGTGACCTACCACTGTTAGTATTGTACACTGAGAACTGTGACAGGTCGCCAAGTAATAACTACTAAATAAAGTAACACGAGTAATCAGACAAACAAATGAACTGACGTCGAGTTTACATTGTCATTATTGTATTAAACATTGTATTTAAATAGTAGTATTTTTTTGTTTTAATACATTTTATTCGTAAATTTATTCTCTAAACAATACTGCTCATATGTCAACCCTTAAGCTTAGGTTGGGGGACTAAGTTTTGGGGTCAGGGCCCCCCAAAGTTTGGGGCCATTTAGGCATGTGCCTACTGCGCTCTTTAATTAATCTAGTACTACTTGGACCCCATACATGTATGCCTATATTTCACTAGAGTCTAGACCAACAAGCCTTCGTCAGTAACACGCTTCATGGAATTTATCAATGGAAGGAAGGAAGAAAAATTTTAGGGGGTAAGCGCCAAGCCTCCACGACTATACTTGGTAGGGATTAGGATAAGGATTTGGGATGGGACGGGGGGTGGGGAAAGGTGCCTAACCACTTGGACGGTCGGGGAATTGAACGCCGATCTGCATGAAGCTCTACCGTCGCTCTACCGTCCAGCCCATGTGGTTGTGCATTTATCGATGGAATTCTCGCGTCATGATGCAATGGTGGTCAGCCCGACCTGTTTGGTCAAGGCGCTTACGGTCGTCGTGTGTACAAGTGGTCTGTTTCCGCAAGCCTTATCCTTGGTGCTCGTCTTGACCTCTAGTATGTAAATCTTTCTTCATTCCCTTCTTCCATGTGACCCGAAGGAGGGTAGACATAGCCTAAGCTATTCTATCATTTCTGAGATATGTCTTTTTGTCTCAATAAACGTACTTTAACTTTTAATACGTCTTTGTAATTTAATAGTTCTTTGTAGATATATTTTTGTATTATATTTAATATTATTTACATACAGCGAATATTGGTATTGTTCTTCGTGTTTTTTTTTTTTACATTCAGCTACTTGGAACAATAAGGTTAAAGTAGCACGAGCTATGATGACTTCAGCAAGTAGCATTATAGAGGCCAAGCTGGCCAAATGCGTTGGAACCTTACCAAGTGTCTATTCCAATACCAATTACAACAAATTTAACCAACTGGACGCATTTACATGAGACGTCCATTAGCGCCGCTGGCCGTCGTCGGTGGGCCTCCCCACCACGCAAAGAAGGGGCAACGCTCATCCAATAGGAATGCGCAACAAGATCTCTCAGCGTTTTCACTGGCTGAGTGCGATGGCTGTAAGTGCATTCCCGACCTAAGCCAGCGCTGCCAACTTAACACCGCACTCACACCGGCAAGAAACCCCCTTCAACCTACGGCAAAATAATCCGGCGCGCGTAACAAAGTTAGTCCTTAGTTTGTGTAGCCTGGATTAAGGGCGATGAATGAGGCAGTGGTGGGTGAGAAGGTGAATGTGGCACCTTTGACACCCGTGACCTTGGCATACCGCTGGGAAAGGTGACAATAACAGTGACATCAGCTGGTCCACGCTCGTCCCCCCTCCCCCCCCCCAACACCCCCCACCCCCGGGCAGGCTGGGACACACCGGCCGGGGGACAAATATATTATAATTCTTATCATTAAAATTATATTATAAGACACTGACGAACCTTAAAACAAATATTTATTGACCTTACATATATAATATGCATGTGGCCACATATATACAAAAAAG